CCAAAGCCAGTCTCAGATACTTACTAGCTATGTGATCCTGAGAAAGTTACTTAACCTCTGTTTGCCTTAATTTTCTCAGCTGTAAAATGGAGTAATAAGAACACCCACCTCGCAGGGTTGCTGTGAGGATTAAATGAGATATTTGTAAAAAGCACTTAGCAGAGTGCCTGGCATATTGTAGGTACTATTAAATGTTTATCCCCTTCCTTTCCTTCTCCTGTGCTAAGGAAATCATTGGCTCAGATTTGATTCTGCTGCTGCTACAGCTGTAGTGCCTTTCTGGAACCTTCCAGTGCTCACGAGGTCACTCACCAAAGGACAAGTAACACAAAATGAGAGAGGAAGGCAGTCAGGGACTCCTATTACAAGCCTAGCTAGTTAGTTGACAGTCCGGATGGAGAGCATCAGCCCCTGGGGCCCTGGTGTAGAAAAGAGCTATCTTCTATCCTGGATGGAATTCTATATTGTCACTTGGAGGGTTGAATCCAAAAGGCCCACAAGCCAGAAATTGTTTCTTCTTCTACCAGGTGTGGTACCCTACATCATTAGTTCTTCTGGGTCAGCAGCCAATTTGGGGACTCTCAGCAGATAAGTGACACATAGCAAGAAACCAGCCCTAATGTCCCTACGATGGTTGACCAGAATGGTGGCTATACATGGTATAGAGAGGGGTGGAGGGAGAAGGGCCCTATTAAGTTTAATAAATTTTTATTGATATTTTGTTTAATATCACCTACAATTTCCACTGATAGCCTTACTTTATGACAGGCCTCCAGACGTGTAACCTAGATGTCATCTTTTTCTCCCTACCATCTCTCATCCACCAAAATGGAATCTGTAGTCAAGGCCTATCAATCTAATCTTTGCAATATCTCTTGAACATACCCCTTCTCTCCTCTGATTCTGTTACCACTTGGTATAAGCCCTCATCACCTCCTCATTACCATCTGGACTATTGTAATCTCCTGCTGATGGGTCTGCCAGGTTCTTCCTGCCTCAAGTCTCTCCTTACTCCAATCCATCCTTTATTCAGCCACCAAAGTGATTTTCCTAAAGCACAAATCTGACCATGTCAGGGGTGAGGTGTTGGTCTCTACTTAGTTTCTGCCAAACTGCTTTCCAAGTTTTCCCAGCAGTTTTTGTCAGAGTGAGTTCTTTGCCCCAAAGCTTGGGTCTTTGGGTTTATCAAATGCTATGGTCACTTACTACTGTGTATTGTGTACCTAAACTATTCCACTGATCCACCACTCTATTTTTCAGTCAGTACCAGATTGTTTTGATGATTATCACTTTGTAAAACAGTTTGAGATCTGGTATGGCTAAACCACCCTCCTTCAAAATTTTTTTCATTGATTCTCTTGATATTCTTGAACTTTTGTTCTTCCAGATGAATTTTGTTATTATTTTTTCTAGCTCTAAAAATAAATTTTGGTAGTTTGGCTTGTCACTGTATGATTTAGGTAGAATTGTCATTTTTATTATATTGACTCAGCCTTCCCATTAGTGGTTAATATTTTCCCAGTTGTTTAGATCTGACTGTTTGTGTGGAAAGTGTTTTATAAATATGTTCCTGTAGTTCATATTTAAAGTCATTTCCATCTCCCTCAGCACAGATTATTATGGGAGTAGAGTAAGGTGAAAATGGAGTTGTGTCTTGGCAGGTGGACTCCCAAATATTTTATATTGTTTACAGTTATTTTAAATGGAATTTCTCTATCTCTTGCTGCTGGACTTTCTTGGTAATATATAGAAATGCTAATGATTTATATTTTATATCCAGCAACTTTTCTAAAGTTGTTAATTATTTCGACTAGTTTTTTAGTTGATTCTCTAGGATTCTCCAAGTGTACCATTGATCATGGTTCTTTTAAATTGTCAATCTGACTTACACTGCTAGGCCTAGGCTGAGAAAATTCAATTAAATTTTAAAAATATTTATTTAACCATTTACTGTGAAAGGGCACTGTGCTAGGTACTAGGAAAATGACATAGTTTAAATGAGATATACAGTAGCATTTAAAAGAGACAGTCTCCATCTATTAGTTTCACTTCATCTTCCTTTTCTAAAAAAAGATTAAATAAAATTCAAGACCTTCCTCCCATTTTATATTTTATCTACTTTGTAACCCACAGTAATTTTTTGGATATTAAAGTGTTTACCAAAAGGATTGTGAACTTGATAGTAAGTATCCCGTTCCTATTTTCTGGAGTTTGGAACCTTATTGTTCTGTCATTTTGTTCTAACTTTCTTGGAATTAGACTCAGTCACTATTTGGTTTTCAGAAGACCTTCCCCTCCACTCTCCTTCATCCCCCCTTTGAAGGCATCTATACTTGAAGTGAAACTGAATGTACTGAGTGAAGTGAAACTTCCTCAAAGGAAGTGAAATGAGATGGTGAGCTCACTTTGATTCTGTTGAAGCAGCTGTTTGGGTGAGCAAGCTTGCAGTCTGTATTTTCTGGAGCTGCCTTGAGGTAACTGAGGTTCTGTGGGACCAGGTTCTGAGAAGAGCTAGTTAGAGCATGTAGAGAATCTTTTTCAGTGGGGTATCCGGAGATCCCTGCCTCCAGGGACTTGTTGAGGCAAGGACCTATGTAACATAAGGGTTTGAATGGCACAGGCATAAGTGATTAGTTCTTTTTGTTGGTGTTTGTTTTATAAAGTTTCATATTTAAAGTCTTCCACAGTACAGATTATTATGAGAGTAAAGTAAGGTGAAAATGGTGCTATGTGAAGATAGGCTGTTTATCACTGTGTGCTCACACAGTAGGCAGAAAATGCTAAGATGTTAGGTTACTGAACGGAAAGAACTTCGTGGGGATGCTGCCATATTTTTAGGGTTGGGGATCTAGGGTTTGTTGGCATCCTGTGTAATATCACCAGGAGAAGCAAGCATAAGGCACCTAATGAGCATGGGGGACCTAAGAAAAAGTAGATCTGAACCTAAGGACTTCTGTCCTCTTCTATCTCCTCTAATACCTACATAGCTTTTGATATCCTTCCAACAGTAGATTTGGTAACATTCTAAGCCTAACTTATACTATCTCACCCCCTCCTTTCCTATTTTTATTGTTTCTTTAAAACTTCTGTTTCAGAAAAGGCTTATTGTTATTTTCATTCTTTATAGCTCATCACCACCCTAAGTGGAAGGCTTACCCTCCACCTGCACGGTTTCATAGCTTATTTCATTGTTATTGTCTTGTACTTTCCCCATCACACCCTTAGCTAATTACTTACAGGCCCTAGGGCTAATATTTCAATACTTTATCATCAACAAATATTTATTTGGTGCTCTGGGGTACCACCACTTGACTGAGAAAATAGTAAGAATTTTAATATTGTAACATGCTAATTTAAAATTAAGGTTTATGATGTTTTCCTCTCAGCAACTCTGAGAGGCAGGTGCAAGTATTGTCCTAATTTAACAGGTAAGTAGACTAAATCTCAGAGTTTAAATAACTTACTTAGGCTCATAGAGCTCCTAAATAAGACATGAACATGAAAATATAGATAGCAATGCGTTATCCTGACAGCATTCAATGCAATATATTGAACAGGTGCTAAATATATATGTAACACTAATTATCTTGACTATCACTTCCTGAAGGTCAGGTGTGTTACATTTCTTCCCTCCCTCAGGGTCGTTTGGAATCTTAAGATTCTTGGGATTATCTAGGATGCCTGCGAATGGCTTCAGCCCCCATCATGATGTTACACCAAATGTAGGAGGGTCCTCTGCACCCTAGTTGTATTTAGCCACTAATAGATTAATTTCTGCAAAGGAATACTTTAGATACTTTACTTTAAAAGGCATAATCACAAATATAAACACTCCCAGAACATGTAGGGCTTGATCTTCTACCCTCTACCACATACTACATTAGTTTCTGGGGAAGGGAAGCAGATCAGTTTCACAACTTAGTTCAGTTTCTATAGAGCACAGTTCCGGTCCAAAACCAGCCTTGGGCTTAAGTTCCAGGCACCCTGGTTTTTCCCTGCTTCCCTGCTGGGCTGGATGAATTCCAGGGTAGAATCCTGGCTGTAAGATCACCATGGCTCAAACTCCTGGACTTGGTGGGCATTACCTTATGCACCTTACATTGAGAAGGACAAAAGAAACAGAATGGAGACTCCAGACCCATTTCTTAGAGCTGGAGTAAAAGAGAGAGAGGGAGAGGAAAATATCCCCCCTCTTCCTGGTTCAGTTAATGGCAACTTTGGAGAAACTGAGCTTCACTCTCTGGATGCAACAGGAAAGAGTGTGTAGGAAAAGAGAGAGACTGTCTCAATCTGGCAGTTTTAAAAAATACAGCCTTTTCTTGTGATGTAGCAAATCGAAGGAGACCACTCTCACCCATGTGGTAGGAGAATGCAGGATGCAGGGTACCTTCATGTTAGGGTATCTGGGCATACTCCAAGCCCCATTACATAGAGTAATTGATGGATTGATTAGGGAACCTGAACCTCAGAAGGGTAAAGTGGCTCACCTAAGATGGGAGGTTAAGAAAACGAAATCCCTGAGTTTTAGCAACATGGTATAATGGGGAAAACTCTGGAATAGAAGCCAGAAATCCTGTGTTCTGGTTCTGGCTTTACCACTTACTCACTGACCATGGGGAGGTATGTCCTTGGGGAGGTTACTTCACTTTTTTGACCCTGTTTCTTCATCTGTAAAATAAGAATTTAATTGTATCTGCCCTTCTTCGCAAAGTTGTCACAAGGATCAAATGAAATGATTAACAAAACACTTCAAAAGCTATAAAGTGGTATGCATATACAACATTACGATTGTAGGGTCCAGTGAATTGGATGACTGTTCTCAAATATTCCACTATCCCTTTAGTTGTTCTTTTTTATTCTTCAGTCTAATTTAACTGCACTCCCTTAGCTATTTCATTTCCAGCTGATCAGTTTCTTACCTCTTAAATCACCAGCTTGATTTCAAATAATTTTGATTTACCCACAATGGGTATTCACCCAAGTCTTTCTTCTTTTTCTAGGTGTCCCCATGTTGCTGACTGGCCACATTAAATGGTTAGCCGTGCTGCTGGCCATAATGGTCTTTTCTCTCTGCTTAGCCCTTCCCTTAGATGATTACCGGAAAGCTCTTATAAGGAAAGAAGAGATGTTGCAAATTGGGGGGGAGCTATTGTTAACAGATCAAGAAGAGCTGGCCAATGAGAAACTAATGGCCCTCAAAAATGCAGAGATTACACAGGCAATGGAGAAAAATCAGTTTCCACCTAGCATGCACTTCTTCCGGGCCAAGAAGCTTATTGAAGAAAGTAAGGTGTTCCATGTCTTAAAGAAGATGCCAAAAGGTAGGGAGGGGCCTTTATGTAGGGGTAGGGTAAACTTATCTAGGGGTTAAGCTCATGAAGAAATGGGAAACTGAGTTATCTGAAGAACCTGAAATTAAAACTATTGCTTTGGAATTCTTTTCTCTGTTACCACTTCTGAATGGGAAAAAATAGGGACATAACTTTATTTTTCTTGGTTTTTTTTTTTTAGTGTTTTTTCTTTTGCAACATGGCTAATATGGAAATATGTTTTGCATGACTTCACATGTATAATCGATATCATATTGCTTGCCTTCTCAACGAATGGGGAAGGGGCAAGAGATAGGGAGAGAATTTGGAACTCAAAATATTAAAAAAGAATGCTAAAATTTTTTACGTGTCATTGGGAAATATTTATTGAAATAAAAACAAGAAAAAAAAAAAGAAAAGGATGGGACACAATGGGGAACTATATCACTACATTTCCCTGTTCCCCATATTTTCCCCCATAGACCTAAAAACGTAGGTGAGGGTGGTGATCAGTAATGCCACACTGGAAGCCAAAAGTCCTGCCTTTAAGAAGACTCCACTGAACAATGCTGTTGGAGCCTCAGAAGTATGAGGCTGCAGCTGAGATCTTTGGACCCAGATGAACTTCTAGGATAAAGTGGGCTGGAAAAATGTCTGCCCAAACAGGTTTCCAGGGACAGACTGCCACTGTTATTCCTTTTTTATCTCAGGAGAATATCCCCCAAAGGCAGAGCCATTCTCTCACTGAAGCCCTAAATTAGGAATTTCTGAGTGATGAAGAAGGCACCTTAGGAAGTGTTACTCTGGGAGCTGGAGCAAAGGGAGTTGTGTTCAATGATCAGGGGCTTCCCAAAACACAGGCAGGATGCTCCAAAGCTCAACTTGGCCAATTGCTTGGAAAGCAAGTATACCTCACTGGCATTCCTTCCTGGACTAGACAAAGTAGGTTTTAGGAGACTCTAGACAGAAAAAAAAAGCTAGGACTTTGAGAGATTAGTTACAGGTCTAGAGCTAAAGCCAGAAATTTCCATCAAGGTTTGGATCCAAGGAAATTTGGCCAGGATGAGAATTTCTATGCATGAGCAACATGATCATCTACTTTTCACTTAGGTGAGATATCACCTGTGGTAGGTGTGAGGAACCTGTGGCCTTGAGGCCACATGTGGCCCTCTAGGTCCTCAAGTGTGGCCCTAGGTCCTCAAGTATGGCCCTTTGACTGAATCCAAACTTGACGGAACAAATCCCCTTAATAAAAGGATTTGTTCTGTAAAACTTGGACTCAGTCAAAAGACTACACCCAAGGACCTAGAAGGTCACATGGGGCCTCTAGGCTGCAGGTTCCCCATCCCTGACCTATGTCCTCTAATCTGTAGTTTTGTCTCCTCTCTCAGGAGCTGCTTTACACGTCCATGACTTTGGCATCTTGAGTGTTGACTGGTTGGTGAGGAATGTCACCTACAGACCCCACTGCCATCTCTGTTTCACTCCAAGCGGCAACCTGAAGTTCATATTTGCTGACCCTGCCCCTCCAACCCCAAAGCCAGAGGGCTGCTCTGAGTGGATTTTGCTAGTGAAGTATAGGAAGCAGCTGCAAAATGTCACTGAGTTTGACAACAGGTGAGTTGTCTGACATTTATATAGAGCTTTAAGGTTTACAAAATGAGGTAAGCAGAACAAGAGGCATTATTATACTTGTTTTGTAGATAAAGAAATTGAGATTCAAATAAACTGTGGTCTGCTGAATATTCCATAGCTAGTAAGGATCTAAGGTTGGATGCCTCTCAGCTTTAGAACTGAGTTTAGTTAGCTAATCAAAAGCATTCATTTAGGGCCTAGTGTGTAGAGAACATAGTACATCTAATGTATCTTGTTTCAAGAAATTTCCCTACATGAAAACCTGTAAGATCAAGCTCTTCTGGTGCATTTAAAACATGATTTGAAAATCAAAATAAAATAGTAGTCATTGGGCTAGAAATTTGATCCAATTTGATTTATGAATAAGATAATTTTTCAGGAACATGTTTATAGCATAAAGTAAGTTATCCATATGTGTTTTGTGAGAGGATGCAAAAGAAATTATTTCAGTCTTAAGGTACTTATGATATATTATGTTTTCACAAACCTTCTATAGAACATTATAATGCAGCTCTCCATTAAAGTCAAAATAACTTGTAAAATAACGAGTAAAATGCCTAAGAGTCCTGAGGGGATGTGAAATGAGAAAGAACAGAACATTAGACACCAAATTTCCCTGGTTAGAGGGAAACCTCTGCTTCTTTTGATTCTGAGCCTTTCAGACATTTCTGAGAATTCTGGGAAATAAGTTCCTAGGAAGGGAAACCGTGACTCCTCCCTCACTCAACTCTGCCTTCCCCTTACTGGAAAGATAGATTCCTCTGGGCCCATGCAAGAGACATGTAGGTATGGCTCCGATGTTGCACAGTTTCATAAGGAAATTCACAAGCTTCCTTACCTGAAGCTTCAACCTGGCATGACTCCCTTTTGCTTCATGACAGCTTGCTGAGAAACTTCACCCTGGTGCTGGAGAACCCTGAGATAGCATACTCAGATCAAGCCGTCATCTGGGCAAGGTTTGAAAACATCTTTATTGCTGTTAAAGGCCTTGTCCATTATGCGCCAGTGTTTAGAGAGTATTTCGCTAGAAGTCTGGAGGAGTTCTATGAGGACAATGTGCAGTACCTGGAGCTAAGAGCCACACTGTACCCGGTAAGTCTGCCATCTTCCTCTTAGTGCTCATCTCTCTCCTTGTCTGCTCTTTCTGCATGCTTGGTTCTCAAGTTTCCCCTCGGAATCTTCATTGGCTCCTTGTTCTGCTTCCTAAACTTAAGAATTGGGTGAAGGACTCTTGGATCTAACTTCTAGGTCCAGCAAAATCCCACATTAGGCAAAATTGTGAAATAGATGGAATTTCTCTTCATTGTCCTGCTTCTCCTTTCAGAACCACTTTCTCCCTTGGTGACTCTTCTCTTCTCTGTTCCTCGGGCCTAGAGCCCTCTTACAGTTTCCTTGCTGCCCAGAGTCTCACTGGGAGCCTGGACAAGCCTCATGCTCTAGAGACCTTTCCTTGCTGCCAAAGATAGATTTCCACTGTTCTTCTTCCTTTGAGCCATGAAATGTATTAGGTGACAGCTAGATAATCTGATGAACTAATTTGTATCAACATGTTAATGGGTCCTGATGAATCACAGGAAACATTTATATTTTTACATGGGCCTTCTGGAGGATTAGTATCTTAATCCTATTTGTAATCTGATATGCAATGGTAAATGAGGAGACATGGGGGTGGGGAAAAGATGGGCATTAAAAACCAGACTTCAAATAGGGTAAGGGTAATTATTGCTTAGAATGGAAGTGGCAAACCTTACCCTGGAAATTAGAATGCGCCATAGAGAAATCAATAATTGCATGAAAAAATAAGAAATATATTTTTTAAAAGATTGAAAAGGAAAACAGAGGAAAATATAAGGTATGTAGTAGCAGATACAATTGAACTGGAATGCATGTCAAGGAGAAATAATGTAAGAATCACTGGGCTACCTAAAAATTATGATTAAAGAAAAAGCCTAGGTATCATATTTCATGAAATTATAAACAAAAACTGCTTAAACCTGTTAGTGGTGCTGGTGGTGTTCAGTTGTTTCAATCACATCCAACTCCTTGCGATCCTATTTGCAGTTTTTTTGGCAAAGATACTGGAGTGGTTTGTCATTTCCTTCTCCAGAACATTTTAGAGGTGAAGAACTGAGGCAAAGAGGGTGAAGTGACTTGCCCAGGGTCACACAGCCAACAAGTGTATGAGGACACTCGAACCACTGTACCACCTATCTACCCCTAACTTCTGTTAGTACCAGAAATCAAAATGAAAATTAGAAAGGATTCATTGGTTGCCTCCTGTAAAATTCCAAAATGAAAAGTCTCAGGAATGTTATGGCCAAACTACAGAGCTTTGAAGTCAAAGAAAAATAAAATACTGCAAGTATACAGACAGAGAAGGTTCAAGTACTACAGAGCCATAGTGAAGATCACACAAGATTTTGAAGATACCACTAAAAAGAAGAGATCTTAGTATACAGATCTTAGGATTCCAAAGGCAAAAGATAAGTTTACAACCTAGAATAACTTATCCTACATAGTCCTATAGGGGATAATGGATCTTTAATGAAATAGAAGACTTCCAAACATTCTTAATTAAAATATCAGAGCTGAGTAGAAACTTTGAAACACAAACATGGGAGTAAAGTGAAAACTAGGAAGATTAGTTCATATGAACACTTGGAATGGTTACATACATATGGATGAAATGCTTACATTTTAATAGGGGGAGAAGAAACAAGTGTGCCTTTAGAACCCTAATGTCTTCAAGGGTCACAGAAAGTCATAAATAAGATAAAAAATTGGTCTGAGGAAATTTGTGTTAAGTGAGAATTTTCAGTCATTCAGTCATTCTTTTTTTTCACTCTTTAGATTTTAGCAGGTCCTTAATTTTAGCTTTTATTACATCCAGACTGGGTTTAGGGATGAAGTTATTTCTTAAAATTGTTCTGCCTTAGTTTGCATCGATTATTATGTTACTTGGAACTGAGAGTGCTATTAACAAAAAATAGTATGAAGCCCTAGTTACACCTGCTAAGTATGTCTCCAGTTTTGTTTTGATGTATTACTGGCATATAGTGAAACAATGTCTTTAGTCCATTTAATGTACACTAGTCATCAGTGTCATCCTCACTGAAACATTTCCAGCTCATGAGTTATTGGTATTTCTTTTTTAAAAAATTTTTAAATTCATTTTGAACTTAAGTACAAAAAGACACATACAAAAAAGAACATTTCCATGTACACAGCACAACATAAAAAAGAGGATTCAATACAAAACCATGAATTTCCATTTCACACTGTTTACTTTTTAAAAACTATGTAATAAATATTACTCATCATTTTCAAAGCTACCATGCTTTTCTGTGCTTCCTTCTTTTTTTGTTTTTATTTAGTATTTTATTTTCCCCAGAGAGTTTTCTCTCCCATTGTATTCCCTTCCTCTCTGTTGAGTTCCAAATTCTCTCCCTCTTGCCCCGCCATCGTCCATTGAGAAGGCAAGCAATATATCATTTATACATATGAAGTTATGGAATACATATTTTCATGTTAGCCATGTTGTAAAAAAAAAACCAATAAAAATCAAGAACCATAAAGAAAGTGAAAAAAGTATGCTTCAGTCTGCACTTAGGGTTCATCAGTTCTCTTTCTGGAGTTCTTTTCGTCAGCTGATCATCCTTACAATATTGCTGTCAGTACGTACAATGTTCTTCTCGTTCTGCTTACTTCACTGTGTATCAGTTCATGTAAGTCTTTCCAGGTTTTTCTGAAAGCATCCTGCCCATCATTTCTTATAGCACAATAGCATTCCATTACAATCCACCACAATTTGTTCAGCCATTCCCCAACTGATGGACATCCCTTCAATTTCCAATTCTTTGCCAACACAAAAGAGTTACTATATACATTTTTGTATATATAGGTCATTTTCCTTTTCTTTGATCTCTTTGAGATACAGACCTAGAAGTGATATTTCAGGGTCAAAGAGTATGCACGATTTTATAGTCTGTTGGGCATAGTTTCAAATTGTTCTCCAGAAGGGTTGAACTACTTCATAACTCTACCAGTAGTGCATTAGTGTCCCTATTTTCCCATGGAGCAGTCTTTCAAATGATTATTAATGGTTTGCAATTCTTCTTTTGAAAACTATTTGTTCATTTCTTTAACCACTCATTTATCGGGGAAACCGAGTTCTCTTGAATCCCAGGCCAGTAATCTGATATTGGTGTGGCAATGCCAACGTGGTTGGAGTGGTCATTTCAGCTAGTCAAGTGGAATTTTCAATTTTATATCTGAATTCAGAAGGAAAGTGGGCAATGGAAATTGCATCATAACATTTATATAATGCTTTAAGATTTGCCAAGCATTTTCCTCAACAACAACCTTGTAAGTTGGAGAGTAGAAATATTTCCATTTTATGGATGCGAAACAGGCGTATAGTGGTAAAGTGGTTATAGAGTAAATAGTGTTAGATGCTAAATCTAAAACTAGGTCTTAGACTCCTGGTCTTCCTCTCTGAGACTATAACCCCTAAGACCCCAGTCATCATAGGGTATACTCTTTATGACTCCAAACTTTCTCATTGTATTTTCTTAGACCTTTTATCAGTATCTCCTCATTTCTCACCTGTTGCACTATGTTGGAACTTCTCTGACTGTCTTCTCCACCAGGCCTCAAGAACCTCATCATCTTGTAAGATCTCATCAACCTTGGTACTCTACCTTATCCCTATCCTCTGCCTCTCTGAAAGGTGGGGCCATGAATGACAAACCTCCATTTAAGTAGAGTGCTCAGCTCAGACATCTCATTTCTCACCTGGCTGGACTACCTTGGGATTTCTCTGACTGACTTTTCCACCAAGTCCCCTAGCTGGGCACCTTTTCATCTTTCCCTCCTCCCCCTTTCAGCTTCCTATTGGGGTTTTATCTTCCCCCATTAGATTGTAAGCTCTTTGAGGGCAGGGACTATCTTTTTTGCCTCCCATTTTTGTATCCCCAGCACTTAGTACAGTGCCTGGCACATAGTAACTGCTTCATAAATGTTGATTGATTGATTATGAACTTGAAGGGCTCTCTCCAGTCTGACATCAAAGATCCTGTAAGAATGGCTTAGGTTTTCATAGACCTCCACAAAGAAATCTGATATCTAGCTCAGATTTTGCTGGGTGGGAAAGTGGAGAAGATTTGAAGGGAATTGAGAGGAGAGAAGACCTTTCTGTCCACAGTTGCCTCTGTGAAGGAGGTAGCTTTTGTCCTGGGCTTTAGTAACATAATAGAGGGCTGAGTTGCAAAGGGAAGTTTCATCAACATCTGTTGGGGCCTTTAATGGCCCACACCAGTCAGGAAAGGAAGCTCTGTTTTTAGTTGTAAATGTGTCGATAGTTCTCTTCCGGAGCTCTGGGCACAGACATTGCTAGGGATCTTTGTGAGGGGCCCAGGCCCAGAAGGAATGACCAAATCCTAAGATATCCAAATTCCTCTCAGTTAATTAGCTGTCTTCAAAGTCTTGAAGAAGGAGCCGAGAGGATGGATTATGAACAACTTTAGTGTGACTGAATTGTAGCCCCTACATAATGCATAAACCAAAAAACCACTGCACTTCCTCTTTCACCTCTACGAATTCATTTTTTAATCAGCTATTTCTCCAAAAATGCTTCCCTAGCAGGCATTGTAGATGGAAAAGGAGTCACATCACAGGAGAGATGAGAGAAATTCAAATGTGTACATTATAAAGCCTGGAAAAAAGTACATGTATGGCATAGGGCAACGAGGATTGGGTTTAGGGTCAGAGGAACTAGGTTTGACTCCTAGCTGTGTTATTTGCATTCTTTGTGTAATTCTATAATCTTCATGTGTGGCCTTAGGCAAGTCATTGTACTTCAGTTTCCTCCTACATTGTGTAAAATGAGGAGACTGGATTAGATCAGGAGTTTTTAACCTCTTTTGTGCCATGGATCCCTTGGCTTTCTATTGAAACATATGGACCACTTGTCATAATGTTGTTGTTGTTGTTTTTTAATAATTGAAAGAAATGCTAATTTTCAGTTAGAGGTTAGGGAAAATAAGGATGTAATTTTTTCCCATCCAAGGTCATGGACCGCAAGTAGTGCAGCT